AGAGGAACCAATATTCCAAATTTCAAGTTCGTACGTTGAGTAGTTTTTGAAATACAGCGATCAGTGAGTCAGTGGTATTTGAATTTCATATATTTATACTGGACCGACTTACCAATTAATAAAGTAATAATTATTACTCAGTAGATATTACGTTATCACAAACGCAAAATTTAACCACTATCGCATTATATTTGTGTATGCATAAATACCTGTGATATTTTCTTAAAAATTGCATTTTGGTTTTTATGTTTGATAAATTTTGATATCTTTTGATTAAATTGTATATTCCCTCTATTCATTACTTCTCGCATCAAACGTTAATGGAAAAATATTAGATTACGTGTGTGATGTTATATTTAACGTATTGTTTATTATGTGAGTGTTATATTTTTGTATCAATAAACTAGATTTATAAATATTTAATAATTCTAAATAACTTACCTTCAAAACTTTAAAATTGTGATTTTTGTAACTATGTACCGAATTATAAACTTTGACAATACTTTAACTTTTAAAACAATAAACCATGAAATCTGAAACCAACTATCTAAAAAATGTGTCAAGTAAAGTTTAGAAATAATTTTTTTATGTTTATTTATTTTTAGCGAATTTAAATTATTTAAATAAATACAATTTATTTTTAATGTTTTATTCTAAGTATGTATATTTCATACATTATTTTCTTTCACTCAATTTATAGAACTCATAATGACTACATTGCTTCAAAAATTTATTTATAGGTGATTTTAGGAAGTAAAATTAAATACTTGTGTATTAATGATTGTTATTTTAACATGAATTCAATTTAATTGTTTAAAACGTAATGTCAATAATTATTTTGTTTTTATTAGATTTATGCGCACGTATATGATTGATGTTATTTATGAAAGGAAAGAGTTGCAAGACTTACAGAAAGAATATGATACTGTAATTCAACAGATAATTAAACTTCATTGATAAGGAAAAACTTATTGAGGATTTGCAACCAAATTAATCCCCTTCTGTACCTTAAGTTGTTTCAGATTCAAACGATAATGAAATCGGTATCTGATGATTAAAATATATACTTTATATAAAATAGGTATATTTGTTTATTAGTTAGTAAGTTTTTATTAGTAGTTCATTAGCTAGTAAAATAAATCTTCTATTAATATTTTTTTTTCTAATTTTGTTTATTGAGACGATCATAATGTTTTTTGTAAAAACCTCAATGTAGAGGGGGATCAAGGTATCTACATGTATTTATATGACTATATGTACGACATTACCATTTTTTCTCCCAGAATATGAGGTTTGAGCAGATTGCTTTTCCTTGTCTTAATGAAGTGGGTACTAATTGGAAATTCTGTGACGCAATTAAACAATAGTATGGCTCATAGAATTAAAATTAAATACAAATTTATAGGGTTTAAATTTTTCACAAGTAGATGATTAAATCATAGCACTGAACTTGCTCCAGACAACTTGTTGGGCACATAAGAAATATTTGTAAAAAAGATGCCATCGTATAAGCCACAGACACAGGAATATAAGCCCCGTCGATCTACATATTTGTTTATGATATACATATAATATAATATATTATATATACGAGTATATGTAACATTCTATTTGTATAAACTAATCATTGGTTATTAATTTATTCATATTTTGTATTTTATAAATATTATAGTACTAATATTCAGTGCCAATCTAACCAGCTCTATAGATTTTGAAGTCCGGTGCAGAATTTGGTCGGACTCCATATAATTTAATAGATTAACTCTAAGAAAATGTTAGAAACCTAAATTTTATTATAGTTTTTAAAATAAAGTAATTTAAATTAAACTTAATTCTTGAGTATAAACGGTACTTAGACTATGTATTATTGAACATAGTGAGATAAATATGACGTAATAATAAAATATCATAATACAATTTACTGAAAAATAGAGAGAGACTTATAAATTATAATAATAATATTTTATTTAGTACTTCATCGTACTTCACACATATTCATACAGTAAAATTTTATAATAAACTAAGATCACAATCTTTAATACACAACACCCAGTAGACATCTACTTTGTTTATCCAAAAATATTTCCTAAATATACATGATCACAATAAAAACGCTTGATGATAAAAAAAAAGTCATCAATAATTACTGTGAAATAAGTTCAGTATAACAATTAATATTAGATCAAACTTAGAAAAAAAAAGTTGCTGATAAAATAATTTGAAATAGTATCTTCGTAAGTATAATTGATTAAGATAGTCTTTAGTAAACATTTGATGTGTCATATTCAACATTTTTTTAATTATCTTCCATTTAGAAAAACTACTGTGATACTTTAAAATAATATTTTAAAAGCTTTTCTAACCAGTCGAAGTTCATACAAAATATTAGAATGTATATTAATATAAAAATTTAATAATTTAATAAAGTTAGATCGAGTTTTCGGTGATAGAAATTTTTGATTTCCCAATCATAAAATCATATCATGTATCTAGAATTGTAATAATACCTGTTCAATATTTAGTTCAATATATATTAAACGAGTTAATTTTGTGTGAAAAAATAAAGAAATATCTGCAATCAATGATACAAAAATACCGAGCAATTATGTGTAATTTTAGAGGACCATAACAAGTTCCCACTAGTTTCATCGTTTGTTTAATACTAAATAATTCACAATGTATTAAATAAAATATTAATTTTTTTTTAAACTTATAAAATGGTTGATACATATTATTTTTAATTACACCTAATTATATGTGTCTTTAGTTATGATCATCTTTAAATATACCAGTGTTATGAACCCCTCTGCAAATAAATGCTGACTACGCATTTACGACAGTCATCGTACGACCGACCGGAGTAATGCGCAGTCAGTCGTGTTTCTATCTAACTACAAAACAGTGTATAATTCTTAAGTTAAATAGTATTAAGTTATTCATTGCCATTAATTAATAAACCGACTCAATAAATCAAATGGTATTTAATGTGTATTTAACATCCACACGTTGGATAATAATTCTTCCTCGAACCCCACACTACCGAATAACCGTCACGGCGGCATTATTCAAGTGAACGAGGCATAACTCAGGAGCTCATAACACCAGCAATAATTATAAATAGCTTTGTAGATAGGTTTCATAAAAAAACAAGATGTTTATAGTATTTGATTCAAAATTGTATTATTAGTGCTCGATTCTTTTCTTATAAAAAAATATTTGTTTATTCTTCCACGAATGATTACAATAGAGTACATGAAAAATACTAATTCATAGAAACAAGCAGATTGATTCAATTAAAAAAAAAACTCAACTTGCACACTATGCGAACTATCAATATACTTATGTATAGTTTATACCGATGAAACTATTAATAAATCGATATTATATTGAGATTTAGCAGTTAAAATAAAAATAAAAAACGTGGCATACCTAGTCATTCAAAATAATAAAAATATTAATTTTACAGTGCAATAACATAAAAACTTATTTATTTATTTATTATTGGTTTATACGAACGATACGCTTGATAAAATACAATGAATGTAAATTAATATAGAATTTGAAAGAAAATTAACTAAAACTAATGTAAATATACAGAGAAAAATTAATCAAAGGGGAAAGAAGGGTCGATAATGGCGTTCAACATTAGACATCGGAGAGGTTCATTGGCTAAATAATTAGTAAATGCAAGAGGCAAGTAAAATTAAGTATTGGGATCTAGAGTTTCGTTGGTAAAAAGAACCTTTTTAAAGACCATTTAAAAACGGAATTACCGCAGAGTACCTACGATCAGCTAAAGATGAAAGGCCTAATAAGGAAACAACAGGAGTATATTCATGAGGAGCGCAAGGAAAATGGAAAGAGAAGCTAAGGAATTTTAGGAACTTACGTTGGACCCGCTCGAGTTGTTGAATATTACAGGCAGCCTGAGGAACCTTGATCAGGACCCCATATTTAATTCTTATTTTTCTTTTTGGGGAACAATATTTTTCAAAGGTCACTAGTGAACAACGGAGTGAATGTAGGATCATAGAAATTGAAATGGGGTATATAAAGAAACATAGATCTATGCAGGACATCACAGAAAGCATTGAAAGCTGATTTAGAGTCAAGGCGAGAGGAGTTGGAAAGCCAGTCAAATGTAGGCAAGAAAGAACGAATGAAATCATAATTAACTTTACGAAAGTTATGGAAAGAATAGTTACGACTCGAGATGGGAATGGGTTGGTGATACGGGAGTACTATATTCGTCGGTAAATGGTAACAGTCATTATCTTCACTGATCACAGTTATGGGTGCCTATAACATATTGTTTGCCTGCTCCCTATATAATACGTGTACAAATCACATATTCATACAAACACGTTTAGCTTTGTCGATGCTATTACATATACTGGTACCAACAATAATATATTTATACACACTACATGCATACGTAGTGTTGTTATAAAGCAGATGCAATATTTCTTGTTTAGGTCGGATACATCTTTACGTGATTTCAGGTTGGTTCTAGGTATTTCATTTTTTTTATAGAAGTGAGGGTTGTTCAAGGCGATCTACAATGTACATTTTCGGTACATTATATATAATGCTACGGCATATAACTATTGGCGTTGTATTATAAAAGTACAAATAGGTGATTTGCGTTAATTTTTGTATGCACTGTAAAAGGGCATTAAAACTCACATTTATCAATGGGGCAGTTGATCTCTCCCTCCAATCAACTGTTAACCACAGTTTTACTAATCCTATTACGGGTTTTCGGAACAATGTGCGTGTCCTTGTTAAATTTTACTGTTTTGTCTTAGAACTAGATAACGACTTCGGGGACAAGACATTATGTGGTTGAATCGTACGCAGTGCGTGATTTATAAACACGTATATTATTATGTAGGTAATATCGCGACGTCGGAACGAACGAGTGGGCCATGCGCACGTGTGCGATAAGGATTATGACAGTTACATGTTACGAATAGAATGGAAAATTGATTTGGACTTACCGACGGGTTGGCCATGCATCTGCGCATCGGATCCGCGGAATTCCGGTACGTCGGTGAGTACCGGCCGGGAAAACACGGTCCAGTGGCGGTGATCGGCAACGGCGGTTTGCCGGCCATCATCTTTTCCGATCCGTACATCATGGTCATCATACCATTTGCGACGGAACAGCGAGTAGGCGACCGTTAGCGACGGTGTACGCGACGACGACAACAATATACGTTTCCGGGGTGGCGGCGGCGAGAGAATCGGCCGGTAAACGCCTGCGTGCGGCTATATATTATATATTATATTATCGCGCTTCGGCGATGCGGCGCGCGTTTAAGGACACCCGCTCGCGTACCGCGGTACCTGTGCGCACCGTAATGCACTCGTGTGATTTTTCGAAAATACTATTCGTCACTACCCGTAACCCATTACCGTACACTTCCGGGACGCGAACGGTGACATATTTTCATATTATCGCCGTGGAAGGGACCGCCGGTTCGGGCGGCGCGAATAAATCGGAACCGAAGGAAAACCAAAAAATGTTAAAAACGATCGATGTCCGTCCGGGGACCGCGAAGGCTGGCGAACGTCGACGGACGATAACCCGTAATAGTTATAATTATTGGTTTTTTTTATTTTTTTATTTTTTTTTTATGTATTATTGTTGTTATATGTTTTTAACTATTATATTGTTATTACAATAGTGTGTCGCCGTCGGAGCACGTGACGCGAGCGGTGAACGTGAACGCCGTACGAGAGTGCTGTTCTGTACCGATCGCGGGCGACGTGCGTATATCGCGCGGCGGGGCTGTGATGCTTCGCTCGTATCGCCCGGCGGTCTGCGCGTCCGGCGGCACTGTGATCGCGGTCGTCGTCGTAGTCGCGCGCCGTGGGCAGGATCGTGACGCGCGCGCATCGGTGACGCGGCGCGCAGGGGCGTCGCGGAACGGTCGCGCGTGCGCCGCGCACTTGGCCATGGCGGCCGCGCGTTGTTCGCCTGGCCCCGACCGCGCGGAGCGCACGCGTCCACCGGCCGCCACCGCCGCCGCCGCCGTCGACAGCCGGGGTCAAAACGTAAATATGATTTCGGCGTGCCCGCGTATAATACGCACTGATGGGTGTTTTAAACTCAACTACCCGCCCGGCCCGGAACCCCCGCCCTGTACCGCGATGCCGCCACCGATACGTATATACGTGGGTATATAGAGTGTACGCGCCCCCACCGCAGTGCCCCGGATGTTCTAATTAACAGCGACGCGCGGGTATTTCACGTGCGTTTCCGCGAACTTTTACCCCAATTCCTCCCCACACGTCGAGAAAAATACTTACGGAATGTGGGGGGGCCGTCACCATCACCATGCGTATCGTACGCGGACAAGTGCGCGGCGGCACATACTTCGCTTTAATGAGGATTTATCGCGGTTTTATGCACACGGACGGAGACCGCGCGTCACCGCGGCGATTGTTGTTAAGATTATGATCACACGTAATTGTACGTGTACGCGCGCTGCAATATTGTACGGGTACGACCCTTCGTCGGCTCTGTACGTGTACGGTTATTTCGGCGGGGCTGGTGGTGATAATACGATGATTATCATCGTACACGCCCGCACAACACATTCGGTCCGTAAAAAACAACAACCCCTGATCGCTGTGCTCCCTCCTCCTATCGGAGTTGTGCGTGTATTCCCCGCGATTTTTTTTTTTCACGTTTATGATAATTTTACTTAATATATGAAATTACTGTTTAATTTGAAATTTTCAGTTTTTCACTGTTTTTTAGTTCTTCTAATCATTGACCTATTTATTTTATAAGTTTATGGTTATAACAGTATTTAACAGTAAGTTTTCTATTTGATCTTGTAAATTCGATCACGTTTCTATTATCTTTGTTCTTAATAACGAAAGATGTTTAATTATGAGAGCTGGTACTGCATAAATTTAAACCTATAGTAGAGAGTAGTGAAAGATTGCATTGGTAACGTTATTAGAGACTTAGATCCTTTGAGTATATTTGTTTTGGATAATTTTAGCCCCTTAAAAACGTAAACCCTAATTACCCTTATGATTTATCTTAACAAAAGTAAAAATGCGACTCGTCAATTAGGATACCGATAAAAATTAACAATTTATCTGTATGGATGAAGAAAAAATGTGTTCACCACAGCTCCGGTGAGCATCTAAATACGTGTGCAAACATAAAAAATATGAAGTTAAGAATATTTTTTGAAATAGAATATTAACCTTAAAATTGGTTTTCTGCCGGATCGGCAAAGACAATTTTTTTTTTGCACGGGAAAAGCGATTTGCTATATAGTTCTATGAGTTACATATATTGTATACTTGTACGTGGAATTGACGAAAAAATTATGCCCTATGTCATAATTTTACATTAATGATGGTAAGTATATATTATATACCTAATGTAATTATTTGGATATGAATAATTGCGTACATTGTATGTTATATAATATACTTAATAATTACAACGGAATCTCAATAGTTTGAAGAAAAATTAATTTAAATTCAATTTTCTTTCGATATAAAAGTAAACACAATGATACTACTAAAAATAGTTTATTAGACGTGGGCGCAACTAGAGCCCAACTATTGGGGATACTAAAATTGCCAAAAATAAAATTGAATGGTGTTTCACTGTAATTGTTATAAATTATATAGATCTGAAAAAAAACAGGAATGCTAAATTTGAATTCAATGTTACTAAAAACTTTCTTGCGCTTCCCTAGTTGCTTCTCTGCTGTTGGACAATAAAAATTATCATTTACTATAAATTAACCGAATCGAAATGTTGTGTTTAAACTGTCAAGGTTCGAGTGTCTTAGTGATAATTTGATGACCTCGTTTCCTAAATGTCAATTTGTTTCATTATTTTTCTCTATAACCATTAAAATTGATAAAAACACCTGAAAATAAAAACTATATATACCGCGTAGCAATATTGTATTATGACTATTATTATTATCGTTTGACAAATCGGTCAATTTTCAACAAATCTGTAAATATTACATTTTTATTTTAATATATAATAAAACTGTGCACGTATACATATATACTTGGGAATTGCAGTACGTGAAAACGTTTCAAGTTGTATATATATATAAATGTGGTGTTACACCAATACCATTTTATACTGTTACTACGGATATTGCTTTTTAATGGAGTTAACCGGACGCGCGTTCAAACCATCAATCGTGCTTGACGCCGACCACTGCCGCGTCGTTCTTTACGATTCCCCGGGCGCCCCGCAGCACACAGCTACGTACCTTTTACCTCGTACCGTACGGCGGTGCACTGCGTGCGCGGGCCCCCTTAGATTTACGATATCCGTCTGGTATTATAATTTTGGTCTATAAAAAATCCCGAAGGAAGAAATTCGAAGCAATCGAGTACAAGACATTTGCGGAGTGAAACGCGGGGGAAAAAAAAAGGAAAAGAAAGAAGAGAAAAAAGTAAAATACGGCATTGTAATGCTCGCCAACCGAACCGACTCAATTATTAATATTCTATTAGACCCGGAGTATTGTGTGCGCCATACCTGCCGTGCCCGGGAGCATAAAACGGCTTTAATATCCACACCGGAACGGCTCCGGGAGGAAAGAAGAAGGAACCGAGGGGTGTGGGGGAAAGTGTAGATTTTTATATTCCTTTTTTTCGCATTTTACTTTTTCGTACCGCCTTTTTGCGCTACATGAGCGCGTATAAAAACGGACCTAGGGCATTCGTCTCGTCGATTGTGGCTCCGCGGGGAGAAATTTCTTCCGACTACAAAAACCGGATACATGGGGGGGAATATGAGGACGTTGAATTACTCCTGGATCCAAAATATCCTTCCTGTTTTTGCCCTTTTAAATTGCCGAATTCGTTGGCAAGATGCATTGCTGTCCGTTTTGCGCGCTCGAAACACCGAGCGAAGCAATAAAAAGCCCCGAAGTCGCGTGCACAACGGATATAATATATATTTACATTATGGAATATCTCTATCTCTCTTTATCTTCGAAGCGGGACGCATTGTGTCGGTTTAGTTTATGGCCTAGCTACTGAATATATATATATATATATATAGTGCTCAATAATTTAACGACTCATTTTACTCCCTGCGTTTATTCTCGATACGGGTTTACAGCTAATTCTACACTAATATAAAACGGAATAATCATATTAGTGCGGTTGTATAGCACTTTATATTATATTATACCTGCAGTATAAATCAGCAAATGTACTCGTCTTCTCCTGCTGACCACACACGTATACGACAAAAAGTTTTGTCCGCATGGCCAATACGAGTAATATAATATTATATGAGATAATGATTCCTTGTTTAAGAAAAAAAAAAAGGCGTACGATACGAATAATTTACATTAATTGTACGATATTAATAGTGTTTGAAAAATTCTTAGTAATACAAATAACATAAATCCAGTCCACAAAATATTGATTTAAAATGTAATGATTCAATACTTTCGTGTGTATTTCTCGATATACTATACGAAAAAATATTGTACATGGTATAGTCGTTTAACTAACCGACTTATTACGTAGTACAATTTGTACCAGCGGTTTACATTTTTTTTTCGCGTACCACTTGAGTATATTATCAATCAGTCACGTACCACTAAAGATTAAAAATAGAACCATACAAACTTAACATAGTTGAATACATTTATTTTGAACAAAAAGACAGTAAAATACCGTGATAAAATTATTATTTAATCATTTATTAATACAAATTTATTAGCGTTTTTAAATATATGAATTAAATATCAAATTTTTTAGTTGCCGTTATACCACCGTGCGGTCTTCCGCGTACCACTAGTGGTACGTATACCACAGTTTAAGAACCACTGATCTATATTACAGCTGTAATTTAATCTATTTTACCTGATAATTAATTTTTAATTAGAAACCGGTTGTATTTTACAATAATTGTAAATTATATAGTTATAATTATTATAACAACACAGACTAAGCTTTTATTTATTTATTTCTATGTATAAACTATTTGCTTATTTATATATAAATTTAAGAGTATTAACCATTTAATAATTTTTATTTTATTTTTTACGATTTTAATATATTTTAATATTTTAATATTATATAATATTTTTATATTATAATTATAGATTTATAATCTTTAAAAATTTATTGAGATTATTTAACATGATGTTCTGTATATACAATTTTAATTTAAAAATATACAACCCATTTACCTAATTATTAAGTATTATATATTTTTCATATTTATCTCAAAATATTCATATTATTAACAAGACTTAATTTTAACATGATTATATCAATAAAACATTTTTGAAAAATCACTTATTAAGTTTTAATAAAGATTTTATATATTATAATATTCATATTTTTTAAAGCATGTTAATGTCTTATCATATTAATATTAAATATCTACCTCTGAATAATCACACCCTGGACCTAACATAATAATAATATTATATACTAACTTATACTATATTGTTATGATGATTTGAGTTTTGATAAAACACGCAAATGTGGTTTGTTTGTCGTGTCAAAACAATTGTTCATATTGAAGGGTTGTCAAATCTAACACAATCTGTTCGGAAAAGAAGTGTACTACCCCGGACCCCTTTTTACCTAATGAGCGGAAGTAGTGGTTACCGGCCGGAAGTTATGATATTCATTATCGTTATTATATTTTTACGTCCCTAATTTTAGATCCCATTGCAAATGATTATGTAGAAAGGGTTATTTACTCGTGGTTTTATAATAGTATAGTAAAAAAAAAAAATACAAATACAAAACTGCTAAATAACTTCTATTTTTTCGAACATATATTTTACATTGAAAATATAAAAATGTAACTGATTGATTAAATGTTA